GTGCTCTTCATTCCTGCATTACCTTGCTTGCATCTGGGATATTTTTTCTTCTTGAAGAATTCCCTTTAGTATTTATTTTAGTGCAGGTATATTTTTAAAAACCTTTCTTGGTTTTTGTTTAACTGAAAATATCTTTATTTTAACTTTTCTTTCAGGCATTTTATCTTATTATGCAAGTCTAGGTTGGCACTTCTTTTCCTTAAGCCCTTGGCAGATGACATTCCATTATCTTCTGGTTTTCATCATTTCTATTAAAGTTATGGTTGAGAGGGAATTCTCTGTGGGCTCTTGTGTGTCTGCACATCTTTTAAGCAAAGGAATTGTCTGCATTTGTTCTGGACTATTTTTTAAGATTGTTGTGGCCGGGCACAGTGGCCCACACCTGTAATCCTAGCACTTTGGGAGGCCAGTGCGGGTGGATCACGAAGTCAGGAGATTGAGACCATCCTGGCTAACATGGTGATATGCCGTCTCTACTAAAAATACAAAAACAAAATTAGCCGGGCATGGTGGTGGGCGCCTGTAGTCCCAGCTACTCAGGAGGCTGAGGCGGGAGAATTACTTGAACCCAGGAGGCGGAGGTTGCAGTGAGCTGAGATTGCACCACTGCACTCCAGCCTGGGCGACAGAGCAAGACTCCGTCTCAAAAAAAAAAAAAAAAGAAAAGAAAAGAATGTTGTATAGCAAGCAACCTTTGAATATAGTAATAGTGTCTCCCTCTAAAGCAGAGGACAGGTGTCCTTATGTCCCTGCCTCAGGGTTCCTGTCCTGCAATACAACTTACTTACATGTGTCACCTTGTGAAAATTAGGGTTCAGGAAGACAAATACTGCTATTCTGTCTAATGCTGTTGCTGTGAGTAATAAACTGTCCTTTGTTTCTTATCTAGGATTCTCATGTCTTCTGCCAGGGGCTGTGAAACTGCGGTAGATTGACTCCTTAGCTTGCAAATAGGGTAAAATCCCAGATTTTTCAGTTTTTGATAGTGTTGGTAATAATGATGGGATGCTGACAGAGACGTGACTTTCTGGAAGAGGAAGTAGAAACGCCTCACGGGCTCTTTAACAGATTTTGAGGGAAGTCCATGAGAATTGGTAGTGAACATGTTGACCAAATTGTATGGTCAACAGAGCAATAAATGTTTCTTCATTTTATTGCCTGTTAATGAGTGGGAATTCAGGAGGTGGTTGCAAGCCAAATCCAGTAAGCATGTTCAAAGACAGCTATCTAGACAGTGCCCTGATTGTTGCTAACTCTCCTCCAGGGGAACTTCAATTTAGTGGTCAGCCTCAGATGTGTGCCATTGTAACAAATAGCAGTTAAGATTCCTATTGGGTGGACAAAAGTTTCCACCCACTTTCAGACAGTTACAGAGACATGTAGCTACACTGAGCATAAAAGGAGGAAAATTGATGAACACTATGGACAGAAACCAGGTGAATTGTTAGAACTTTGGCTGGTTTGCTTGGGTTGGTTGCTTAAAGATTAAGGAAGAATGGAAATAGCTGAGCCGTCTTACTACTTAGCCCCTCTTGTAGTCTGTCATGCCAACCTTAGATCCCTTTGGAGATGACAGAAAAAGTCATTTCAGAGTCCTTTTGCAGTGGATCTAAGATGTGATAGAGGAACTTTGGCACCCTAGGAGAGGGGGGGCTTTCCCTCAGACAGACAAAATTCCTGCGAGATACCATGGACAAGATACTAACTCGTATCCAGGCTCTTACATCTCCACACTGGAATTACAGTGCTGATGAAAATGACCAACTTGATATGAAGAATTAGATAAATTCTCAAGAGTCATTTAGAAAACTCTGTTAACCCTTATGTTGAAGCCAAGCAAGAATTTAAGAGGTGTTATCTTGACAGTAGGGTAGCAAATGCTACCTTTAAAAGAGTCACCACTGTCCAAGTCAACCTTGAGTCAACCAAGAGTCATAAACCCTGCAGCTTCAACCAGAAACAGTATGGCTGTGACTTTTTAATCAAGAGGCCCTAAAGCAGAAACAAATGGTGTCAGTAATGGTACCTTGCCACCTACTACAGACTTTGGTTAACCAGTAACATTAGGTAAGTTCATTTGGTTGACCTGCAAGCAACCATCACCTCACTTGAAACCAAAAGTAAAATATGCCTTATATACTGATTCAGAATCTTTTTTCCATTTGTGCTCTCTGATTCTGTCCAATTCCTTATCCTGACCTCAGATGCTTTAAGGAGAAATATGATTGGGATAGCACTGAAGTCTTCCTGTCTCTTAAGGGACACTGGAAGCCATAACCTACCCATTCAACTATTGTGGGAAGCTTCAGGAAGAGGAAGGAATGAAACTTAGTCTCTATTAAATACAGGACCCCAAGTTGCCATTCTAGTCAGTCCACTGTGGGGAGGAAGCACCTGAATTCACCTAATGGGATTTGGGCAGAGTTCAGCAGAAGGGAGGCTAACATGGTTTGTCAGTGGGGCTCTTTAGGCCAATTCAGTATACTGTTGTTACTGCTTCTACATCTGAATGTTTAGTAGGTATTGGTTCTGTATTTCAGTATCACTTAAGTGCCAGAGGGGATCCTCCCTATTGGGAATAACTGAATATAGAGAAGTGCCAGAAGTCCTTTGGGACCCCTCACAAACCTAATGACTCCTTTGAGCTAGTCTTTATTTATGACTAATGATTCTGCTAATTGGAGCCTTTGGCAAGACGGAAGAAGCCTCCATTTGGAAGTACCCCTTTAGGTTTTAGACTTTCACCCAAATTGGATGTGTTTTCAGCTCTCCAGACCATTTGTAGTCTGACAGATATGCCTTTTGTAATAAACACCACTCAGCAATGGGCTGATAGTCAAGAAATTCAGTGGGAACCGGTACTGTGGCATAGGCCTGTAATACTAGCTACTTAGAGGGCTAAGGTAGGATTGTTTGAGCTCAGGAGTTTAAGATCATTCTGGGCAACCTAATGAGACTGCATCTCAGAAAAAGAAAAAAAAGAAATTCAGTGAAGCTTTCATGTGCTCTACAATCATAGGTATCTGGTATTGTTGAGTATAGGAATGGCTGCTCAAAAGTCAACTCAGAAAAGATGTAGACTCTACCTTCCTAACCTTTTTCTGGTTCACACTCCTTAGTAAGGAAGTTTGTTCACTGAATGTGACTGTTGCCAGAAAGGGATTGTGTCTTCTTGGTCACTTCCTTAGAAATAACCAGGACAAAAGAGGTAGAAATTTATTAAAGAACTGATTTTGAAAATTTAAGATTCTGTTCTGACCATTCCTGGGCATGATGTTTCTTTCTTTCTCCTAATGGCAGTTGCTGGCCAGCCTGGTTGGTGGTAGATATACCTTCCCAGTTACAGCCTAGCCAAAATGGAGCTTATGGGGTTCAAATTTAATTCTGGTCCAGCTATCTGGATTATTTTGTTGGATAGCATGCCCTAAATCATAAAGATAATGATCACTCAGTTGAGTGCACTGCTTGTGAAGTACACTTACAGTGGCTCATATAGACCATAACACAATACATTTTCTTGTAACCAATTTTCAGAGTGATTTATATTATCACTTTGTGGTCTGTGTTTACTACTACAAATTGTCATGTACAAATATAGATCTCTTTTTTTCCCATAATTCAACAGTTTTGTTTACTTTGGTATGTGAAAGGAAAATAAATCTTCAGACCCCAAAATCACTAAGCTAAAAGGAAAAGTCACGCTGGGAACTCCTTAGGACAAACCTGCCTCCCATTCTATTTAAAGTCATACCTCTGCTCAATGAGAGAAATGCATATCTGATTGCTTCGTTTGGAAAGGCTAATCAGAATCTCAAAAGAATGCAGCCCTTTATCTCTTATCTACCTATGATCTGGAAGCCCCTCTTCCTGCTTCGGTTGTCCCACCTTTCAGATCGAACCAGTGTACATCTTACATATATTGATTGATGTCTCATGTGTCCCTAAAATGTACCCTGACCACCTTGGGCACATGTCATCAGGACCTCCTGAGGCTGTGTCATGGGCATGTCCTTAACCTTGGCAAAATAAAATTCTAAATTTACTGAGACCCATCTCAGATGTTTGTGGTTCACAGATATATTCATTTTTAAAAATAGCTAATGCAGGCAAGTGATGAAAGAGTCAAACATTATCAATGTGTTTGCAATAAAAAGTTTCTCAGAATTCCTCATACTCCTCACCATGTGACTCCCAGTTTTCTTCAGGTGTAACCATTATTATTTTCCTGGGTATTCTTCCTAAAGACATTCCTATGGGCAGAACTAGGATGGCCTTCCATTTGAGTGAAAATAAAAACCATAATTTTCATACTAAGATGGAAGGTATGCAGCATTATCCCATTTGGAATCCTATTGATGTTTTCACATAATAAATTCCAACAGTTTTATGAAAACTCAATATTGAAGTGATTGCTGTACTTAAGGACTGGGATCATTCTCGTTTGTGGCTTTATTATATAAGGTGTTGAGAACATAGTACATGTTCCACTGGTGTATTAACAATCAACTGTGTACCATTTCTAAAAATTGATAGAGAAGATGCAAACAAAGTAATTGAAGCATTTTCTTTTCCTTGTTTTTCTTTTTCTCTTTTTTGTTAATACCATACTTTTAGCCCAAATCCCTGGGTAGTACTAGATAAAGCCCAACCAACTTCTTTATCTTTTTTGAGATTCACCCTGCTTGCCTTATATATGTTAATAAAATACTTATGTATTCGTTCCAGGATTTAGTCACAATTTACTAATCACTAATTAGGCTTCAGTATTCCTAGATCTCCTGTGACAAACATACAGAGCATATCTGGTACATCACTTCTATAAATGATTAATGTGATCCCTTACTTATTGAATCTTTCTAGGTTTCCTCAGAGGGTAATGTTCATTTTTTGGAATACTCACACTGTGATCACATTTTATGGACAAATACTAATCTGTGTCACCTGAAACTTTCTTACAATATACAGAACGCATTCCATTTGGATTTTGTTTATTGTTCCAGATGGTGAGAACAAGACCAAGATTGGAAAGCCAGCTTCAGAGGAGGGAATTACAGCAAAAATCGAACCATTGACAGAAGAGTCTAGCAGTCTCAGAGAGAATGTTCTCCAGGATTGTGAAGGCAGAGAATTCTGTGAATTTGGGGATAAATTAAATGAAAAAGATCAGAACGTCTTTAAAAGGAGACCTCATAACTGTGACAAATATGGGCAAAGCTTTGTTTGGAGTACAAGCCTTTTTAGGCATCGAAGAACCCATTGTGAGAAACCTTATGAATGTGATAAGTGTGAAAAGGCCTTTAGTGTGAGCTCAGCCCTGGTTCTGCATCAGAGAATTCATACTGGGGAGAAACCCTATTCTTGTAATTGGTGTATTAAAAGTTTCAGTCGGAGCTCAGACCTTATTAAACACCAAAGAGTCCACACCGGTGAAAAACCTTATAAATGTGATGAGTGTGGGAAAGCCTTCAGTCAGAGCTCAGATCTTATTATACATCAGAGAATCCATACGGGAGAAAAACCCTATCAGTGCAGTCATTGTAGTAGAAGTTTTAGCCAGCGCTCAGATCTGGTTAAACATCAGAGAATCCATACTGGAGAGAAGCCTTATACTTGTAACCAGTGTAACAAACATTTTAGTCAGAGTTCTGATGTGATAAAACATCAAAGAATCCACACTGGGGAGAAACCATATAAATGTGATGTGTGTGGGAAAGCCTTCAGTCAGAGCTCAGATCTTATTCTGCATCAGAGAATCCACACTGGGGAGAAACCATATCCATGTAATCAGTGTAGCAAAAGTTTCAGTCAGAATTCAGACCTTATTAAACATCGAAGGATCCACACTGGAGAGAAACCCTATAAATGTAATGAATGTGGGAAAGCTTTTAATCAGAGCTCAGTCCTTATTTTACATCAGAGGATTCATACTGGAGAGAAACCCTATCCTTGTGATCAATGTAGCAAAACCTTCAGTAGGCTTTCAGATCTTATTAATCATCAACGAATTCACACTGGAGAGAAGCCTTACCCATGTAATCAGTGCAATAAAATGTTTAGTCGAAGATCGGATCTTGTTAAACATCACAGAATTCATACAGGTGAGAAACCCTATGAATGTGATGAATGTGGGAAAACCTTTAGTCAGAGCTCCAACCTTATTCTTCATCAGAGAATCCACACTGGAGAGAAACCTTATCCATGTAGTGATTGTACTAAAAGCTTTAGTCGCCGTTCAGATCTTGTTAAGCATCAAAGAATACACACTGGAGAGAAACCATATGCATGTAATCAGTGTGATAAAACTTTTAGTCAAAGCTCAGACCTCACTAAACATCAGAGAGTACACTCTGGTGAAAAGCCTTATCATTGCAATAGTTGTAAGAAAGCCTTCAGTCAGAGTTCTGACCTTATTCTTCATCAGAGAATTCACACTGGAGAAAAATCATATCCATGCACACAGTGCAGCAAAAGTTTCAGTCAGAACTCAGACCTCATTAAACACCAGAGAATCCACACTGGGGAAAAACCATATAAATGCAGTGAGTGCAGGAAGGCTTTCAGTCAGTGCTCAGCTCTTACCGTACACCAGAGAATCCACACTGGGGAGAAACCAAATCCATGTGATGAGTGTGGCAAAAGCTTTAGTCGGCGTTCTGATCTCATTAACCATCAAAAAATACACACTGGTGAAAAGCCGTATAAGTGTGAGGCACGTGGGAAAGCCTTTAGCACATGCACAGATCTTATTGAACACCAGAAAATCCATGCTGGGGAGAAACCTTACCAGTGTGTTCAGTGCAGGAGAAGTTTTAGCCAACTCTCTGAACTTACTATTCATGAGGAAGTCCATTGTGGGGAAGACAGTTAAAATGTGATGAATGTGAGAAAACCTTTAGTATATACTTCAACTCTATTCAGTACCAGAGACACCATACCAGGAAAAAATCTAATGAATGCTATTCATTATTGATGAGTATGAAAAAGTTTTTTAATCAGTGGTAAGCTCTTATGCTACATTAAAACCACACTGGAGCCAGGCGTGGTGGCTCACGGCTGTAATCCCAACACTTTGGGAGGCAGAGGTGGAAGCATCACTTGAGCCCAGGAGTTTGAGACTACAATGAGCTATGATCCCATCATTGCACTCCAGCCTGGGCAACAGAGCAAGACCCTGTTCATTAAAAAACAACAACAACAACAAACAAACCAAAAACACCAGTACCACACAGGAGATTGTAATTCAGTTTTTATAATGAAAGTTTAACTCAGAGCTCAGACATTACTAAAATTAAGAAAAATTCTCCAGCCTGGCCAACATGGTGAAAGCCTGTCTCTACCAAAAAATAAAAAATAATTAGCTGAGTATGGTGGCAGGCACCTGTAGTCCCAGCTATTCAGGAGGCTGAGGCATGAGAATCACTGGAACTTGGGAGGTGGGGGTTGTGGTGAGCCGAGATCCGCCACTGCACTCCAGTCTGGGCAACAGAGTGAGACTCTGTCTCAAGAAAAAAAAAAAAAGAAGAAGAAAAAGAAAAACTCTGAGGAAGAGTCCTGTGAGTTGTGGGAAAATCTTCAATGTGAAAAAATTTTTTACTGAATGTCAGTATACAACAATAGAAACAAATTTCTATCTTTTCTATTATGTTGGAAAAGCTGTAGTCTTATTCAGACATAACCTACAGGAAGAGAGTTGTATTATTGTGAGAGATCTAATGCAGAACTTATCAAGTATTGTAAAAATCAGTGTGGGAGGTATTCAGTCAAAAGTCAGAAGGAAATGTATTATTGTTATAATCTCAAACCTTTAGAGAGCTTAAATTACCAATTGCATATCAGAAATTATTTTAGATAATGTAGGGAAAACTTAAATCCCCTCCATATCTTAATTGGCATTTATAATAATATGACACTTAACCCTGATAGCTAGTCTTACTTTATGCTAATGCTAGATATCTATTTTTAAATTCCACGTGTGTAAACATGCTATACTATTCTGATATTAAACTTACTAAGTACATAATTCCAGTGCCCCCTTTTCTCAGAAGTTTTTTTTGTTTTTAGTTTTGGAGGGTATAGTTTTGGTTTTCCTAGTGCACATTAGTTTGTGCAAGTTGTCGTAATGTTCACAGCAAATATAGATTTATTTTGCTTTGAATAATACAGCACATAAATTCTATTGGTTTGAAAGTTCTTCACTACCATTTAATAACAGCTTCTAAACCTGTGAAACAGGATCTTTAAAAAAATTTTCCATATGTCAAAGTGTAGAGATGTTTCTAGCAGCATTTATCTTCTCATCTATAGATTGAACAAAAAGTGGTAGCTGTGAAATTGTGATTTATAATAAATATATATCTGGTCTTCATCCCCTGGTACAGAGCTCGTAAAACCCTTGAAATTTCCTGAGTGGTAAGAGTAATTAGGATGACAAGCCCCTTTAACCACACCTGAGTTTATGTTAATGAGGTTACTTTTGGAAAGACAGAACCACAGGATGGGGACTAGTTGCCAGGAGAATCAACCATGTGATTAGAGGGTTGGAACTTTCAGATCAACTCCACCCTACCTTGACCTCTAGGAGGAGAGAGGCTGGAGATGGAATTCAGTCACCAGTGGCCAGTGATTTAATCATTCATGCCTACATGATGTGGCCTTCATAAAAACCTAAAGGACAGGATTCAGAGAGCTTCCAGGTTGAACTTGTTGAGGTACTAGGAGGGTGTTGTACCTAGGAAGGGCATGGGAGCTCAGTGTTCTTCCCACACACCTTGCCTTATGCATCTCTTTCATCTGGCTGACCCTTAGTTGTATTCTTTTACAAGAATCTAGTAAATAAACTTTTCCTACATTCTATGAGCCATTCTAGCTAATGCTGAAACTCAAAGAGGGGATTGTAGTAACGTTGGATTTATAACCAGTTGTTCAGAAGCATCAGTGAAAACATGGACATGAGATTGGTGTCTGAAGTGCAGATTAGTGTCCGAAACTGACACAACTGGTGTCACTTGTAGAACTGAGCCCTTAACCTGAAGCATCTATGCTGATCTGATTCCAGGTAGATAGCATCAAAATTTAATTACAGGGCACTTAGTGGGTATCCACAGAAAATTGGAGAATTGCTTGATATGGGAAAACCTCATATACATCTGCTGTCAGAAATATTGTGAGTATAGAGAAGACAATAAGTTTTTCCTATACAGTAGCTAAAGTACCTACATGATTAATTTGTATAGTCTATTCTGTGTAAAAATAAAAAGACTTTCTGATATTTTTTTCAAGTGGCAACATTCATCAGACTTTTTTGATTTCTGACATACATCCTGAAAACAGGCAACACACATGCAAAGTTTTCCACTGAAAAATAGAAATAGTTTGAAAAAATAAAAAATTCAAATTGTCTTTCTGGTATTAACAATTTGATAAGTTCTGCTACTAAATAATAGTACTACAAAGTTGTTTACTCTGTCCTCCATGACTGTCCAATTAATATTTTAATTTAGCATTGTTATGTTACTTCCTTAGTGTGATGCTAAGGCAAGGCCTTTTGGGAGGTTTTTTATTACATAAAAAGAAAATACTGTCTCTTCCAATGAATTGTATATTGTATAGTGATAGAGACTAATATGGACAGAAAACATGATTACATGTTTATGATTACACGGCTCAATGTAATCATAAAAGTAGGACATGCTTGTAAGTACTCAGAGGAGTCAGGGTTCAATTCTGATTAGAAGGAAAAGGGAGAGCTTTGTGGAAGTCCTGAAGTTTGAGCTTTGAAGGATGGGAATAGAGGCATAAATGCAGGGAGGGAATAATCACAATGGCACAAAAGGAAGTGCAAGAAATGTGGAGCATGGTGGTTATCACTTATTCGGTAAATATTCAGTGTAGGGTACTCTACTGGTTCCTATTGAAGAGGGGCAGGGGAAGGGCCCCTGCCTTCAAGAAGCTCACAAACAGTTACGATGCATTATGAAAATGCTTATTGAAACATACATTTCAAAGTAAGAATAATGTGGAAATGAAAATCAAGTGGGGAAAAATAAAAGGATTGTGATGCTAAACAAGCAGGCACTTTAATTTAATGGGCTGTAGCTTATCTCTAAAACAAAAGTACTTGGTGGGTTAGACTAGATTTTATGTTTCTGCATTTTATTCTCAAAGTAATGAAAAGCCATTAAGGTCTTTGAATGATCTTTCTGCTTTAAAAGGAGTTTCAGATTAAAAGGGGGAGAGAAACTAACAGGAAACCCATTTTTAAAGTCTGGAAATAAAATCATGAGGTCCAGAAGTAGAGGAGCTAAAAAGCATTGACATGATAGGTTGAGAAGTGGGTAAGAGAAAGGTAAAATTTATTATCTGTTCTTTGGAGAATTTAAAAAGCAAAGAAGAAAAAACAGGGTGGTCTCCAAATCTATTTCTGAAGTTTAGCTATCTCTCCTGAGAATACATTTTGAGAGCTTACTACACATTTCTGTATTCAACGTCCTACAGGTAAACTCAAATTCATGAACTTAACACACACCCCCACCCCCATGATTTCTTCCTCCTGAATTGCCTATCTTTATGAATTACACTACTAAACACCTTGTCATCCACATAAAATAACTGGTAATCAACCTACACTCCTGACCTCCAGTTTTCCAAACCTGGTTGCTTACTAGGTCTTAGAAATGAGTTGCAAAACTACAAAATTCGAACAAGTGTCAAGAATATAGAGTGGAAGGGAAATGCAGAGAATTGGGCCTGACACTTATGCCAGTTGATTCTTCCAGGCATTTGCTGATTCTTGAACTGACAGGGAAAAGGGCCAAGAAGTCTATTCAAACCATGCTGAAAGGTTAAATGAAACTCAGCTGACTCATGCTAGGGACTAAAAATTAGAGTATAAATTGTGCCAAGTAGGTGGAGTCCTTGTAAACACCCCACATTCTCAATGTAAACATTATATGGCTACACCCCAAGAGAGGATAAAACCTGACCAAGTCTTAAAAAGACTGAATGCAATGTCAAGTAAGGTCAACCTTTTAGTGAAGTAAGTTATCTTCCCCTAATCTAGCTGCCAGCTAGAAAAGAAGAAAGGGTGAATCCTGTCTGGAGGATGGCTATCCAGATTCTGCAATTTTTTATGCACAGTATGTTCAAGCAAAACTTGCCAAAACCACTAGAGTCAGAAACATCAATATGAACTCATATATACATTTTATGCACACACAGATGGATTATGAAGAAACAATTATAGAACATACATCTATACATATGTTAGTATGCATACATACACTACCTAGCTCTTTGAGAGGATCTAGAAGCAATGACACCCTAGCATCAATGAGCATAACCAGACCTTGGTTTCTAAATATCATTCTCCAAATAAAAGGAACCAGGGCTTCTTTGAGAAATAACTGGTTGTAGGGCTAGGGCAGGGAAAATGCAAGATGAGCCTAGAGCATCTTGTAGTACAGAAAGTAGGTAAGAGTTCAAAAAACAAAAGGATAGGGGCATGTCAAAGGAACATAGGAGACAAACTGAAGGAGTTCCCAAGGCCAAATAAGCATACATGCATCCATACTGATAATTAGGTATGGGAGAAGAGACAACTCTTCCTTATGGAAAAATTCCAAATTATATATTTAGATTCTCTCCTCCTCCAGAGGAAGCTGGACCTGTTGACCTACTTCCAAAGGATAGAGTATGGAAAAGGAAAAACTAACTACAGTGGAGAAATCTGACAAAAACTACCTTAAGGCAGGGTTTGTCAACCTTAGCACTATTGACATTTTGGGGCACATAATTTTTTGCTGTGAAGAGCCATCCTGTGGATTTATTAGACATTTGATACTATCCCTGGCCTCTATCCACTAGATACCAGTGGCAACCCACCCCAAGTTATGACAGTCAAAAATGCCTCCAGCCACTGCCAAATGTCCCCTGATGGACTTCTCACCTGCCTAAGATGCACCACCTAAAGGGTAACATCACCAGTGAGTGATGTTATGTGACTATTATGTACCACTTTGTATGATGTTACAAGAAAGTCACTTCAAATTGTAGTATTCTTTTTAAAAACCTATAATCCCCAAATCAACTAAAATCAGAAATAAAGAGGGCATGTTACTGCTATAATTTCAGAAATAAAAAGGATTAGAAGAAACTTCTAGGAATAATTGTACACCACAAATTGAATAACCTAGATGAAACAGACAAGATCCTAGAAACACACAGCCTACCAATGAATTGTGAAAAAGTAGAAAATCTGAATAGAACTATGGCTAGTAAGATTAAATCAGTAATCAAATACCTCCCCAAAAAAATAACCCAGGACCAGGTGGCTTCACTGGTGAATTCTATCAAAGAAGTAATACCAACTCTTATTAAATTCCTATAAGATATTACAAAGGAAGGAACAATTCCAAATTCATTTTATGAAACCAGCATTAACCTGACACCACGCCAAAGACACTACAAGAAAACTACAGACCAATGTCCCCTATAAATAATCCTCAACAAAATTCTAGAAAACACAATACAACAACGCTTTAAAATAATTATACACCATGTCCAAGTTAGATTTATTTTTGAAATTCAGAATGATTCAACATACAAAAATCAATCAGTGTAATACACCACAGTAACAGAATGAAGGAAAAAAGTATGATTAACTCGACTGATGCAGAAAAAGGTGACAAAATTCAACACTTTTATGATACACTCAACAAACAAGGAATATAAGGAAACTACCTCAGTATAATAAAGGTCATATTTAAAAAAAAGAAAAACCCTACAGTGAGCATCATAATGGTAAAAGACTGAAAGCTTTTTCTAAGAGAAACAATATGCCTGCTTTCACGACTTCAACATAATACTGGAAGTCCTAGGCAGATCAGTTTGGCAAATAAAAGAAATAAAAGGCATTCAAATTGGACAGGAGGAAGTAAAATTATCTCTATTTGCAGATCACATAGTCTTATACACAGAAAACCCTTAAGATCACACACACATACACACGAACTAATAAGTGAATTCAGCCAAGTTGCAGGATACACAATCAACACCCAAAAATCATTTACATTTCTATATACTGACAATCTACAATCTAAAAAGGAAATGAAAACAATTTCATTTACAATACCATCAAAAAGACTAAAATACTTAGCAATAAACTTAACCAAGTAAGTGAACGACTTGTTCCCTGAAAAACTACAAAACATTGCTGGAAAACGCAAAAGAAGGCACATATAATTGGGAAGATATCCTATGTTCAATACTACCCAAAGAAATCTACAGATTGAATGCAATCCCTATCAAAATTCCAATGACAAGTTTTACATTAATAGAAAAACTAATTCTAAAACTCGTATGGAATGTAAAGGGATCTCAATTAGCCAAAACAATCTTGAGAAGCAATAAAGTCCGAGGTCTCACACTCCTGATTTCAAAACTTACTATAGCCAGCCATGGTGATGCATACCTATAGTCCAAGCTACTCAGGAGGCTGAGGTAGGAGGATCCCTTGAGCCTGGGAGTTTGAGAACAGCCTGGTCAACAGAGTGAGACCCAGTCTTTGGGAAAAAAACAAAAAAAACAAAAAAAAAACTTAATACAAAGCCACAGTAATCAAAATAGTGTGGTATTGGCATAAAGACAGACACTTGAGGAAGACAAGAAACTTTTAAGCTGAGGAATGTGAACCTCCTTTAAATTATCAGGCCCAAATAGACATTGAAATGTGACAGTAGTCACCTTTTACTCCAGGCTTGAGCTAACTATTTCTAATCTGCCTGCTATAGGGTCTCTAGACTGTCACCACCAAGTAACCATAAACCTAACAATGCCTTATGCTGGAAACCATAGCTCATACCCATTAGTTCAATGATGTATAGCTAATCACTAATCAGTGTTATTTCTGTAAACCAATGAGAATTCCTCAAACTTTTGTAAATTGCTTTCTCTTTTGATTCATCCTTTTTCTTTTTTTCTCTTAAAGACTCAAGACTCTCCTTTGCTCTCTGAAGCACTTCCCAGTGGTTCCCAAATTCCAGTCCTCAACCTTGGCCAAAATATACTCTCTACGTTAATTTTGCCTCATTTTCTTCCTTCAGGTCAATACACATAGACCAGTGAAATATAATAGAGAGCCTAGAAATAAACCCTTCCCCATATATGATGAAATGATTTTTGACAAGGGTGTTAAGACCATCCAATGAGGAAAGGACTCTCTTCTCAACAAATAGAATTGGGAAAACTGCATATTCACATGTAAAAGAATGAAGGTGGA